TGTGAGTTCGTTACCTTTTTAGTAAAATTTTGTTACCATCAACCAAACTTGTGAACGGTCCAAAGCAAAAGAAATGTGGTTCTCAAAGTGTAGAAGAGTATGTATCATCCCATACAAAAATTAAATCTGCTACATTCTATTAACAAATAGCCCAATTGACAGCCATGACTACACAACTTTTACTGGGTTTCACTAGCGTCCAGACTGTTAATTTTGTCCACAAAAGAGTTGCAGTGGTAGTTATGTCTCGAAAATGCATTTTGAGAACAGCGATTGGACCTCTTATCTTCCAATTTTCAGGACCTCTTCAAAATATCATTGATCACTTTTTCGCCCAGAACTCAATTTAAAATGTAACATACGATTTTAAACTTTCGCGTTCCATTTCAATTAAAATTAAATAAAAGCCGTGAGTACATAATGTAACACATAAACGTCGCGTTAAGACCCGTGTCTTACTATTTTAATTAAAATGTAATATCCTTACATTTTCAGTATTCCCACCTCTTTGGTAGTGCCATAAAGCTTGTTCACCTCTTCAAGCCGACCTTTGCACGGATGCATTTACGCTACCCGCACTAAAATACCGATTACCGATATCGCACCGCTATACCGCTAGCACCGGCTAAATCGTCCAGATTATATCGTGGATAGGTACTTATTAGAAGGTATCCATAATGAAGGAGGAGATACGTCTTAAAGGATGAAATGCAGTAAATAATAGCAGTAAATAGCACCACTAAAATTGGAGTTTCTTCTGAATACATAAGTAACTATTCCCATTAGTTATTTGTTTGTAATTAAGGTCTAAATTAAGCTCTCCAAATACATATTATCTCGTCTTCAATGGATGGTGTCAGTTTACGTGATTAAAAATGAAAAATTATCTTTCCTGAAAAAATGGCATGAGTGTACTGAAAAATCAATTTCTTAAACAAGAAGCTTGCATAATGATAGTTAATAACTTCTGCCACAAAATCGATATATTAGTTATCTTTTATCACACATTCACCAAACAGACGTTCCTAATCTCCATCTCCTTACAGCTTTAGTAACTACTTACTATCTAATAAAATGATAATAAGGAACCTTCAAACGATTTGCGACTTAGTATCGAAACATTGAGAAACAGAGAGAAATAAAGAATACATACTATACTATAAAGGTGAAACGGCAGGCCTATATGGAACTGGATTTCTAGTGAAAAGGAGACTTCTAGCGGAGATCGAAGAGTTCATAGGGATTTCAGAAAGAGAATCAATGCTAAATGTAAGACTACCCACTGGAAACAAAAAGGAACAATGGTCAATCATCCAGGCATACGCACCAACAGAACCAGTAAAGAACGAGGACATGCACAAGATTGAATCATTCTACAGTAATCTACAATCCACCATAACGCAGGCACATTCCAATCTTATAGTTATGGGTGACTTTAATGGAAAAGTAGGTACATCCAAAACAGGAGAAGAGAAGATCATTGGAAGATTTGGTCATGGACATAGAAGTAAAAATGGTCAATCACTGGTAAACTTTGCGACTGAAAATAAACTGTCCGTTATGAACAGTTTTTTCAAAAAAAGAAATTCAAGGAAATGGACCTGGATCTCACCTTGTGGAAGATACACGAACGAAATAGACTATNATGACATCGTATCAATTTTTAAAAACACTGACATTCTAATTTACGCTGACGACATGAAAATTTTTAAACAAATTAAATCACCTTACGATTGTGTTTTACTGCAAAATGACCTTGACGCGCTTTGTGCTTATTGTAATTTTAATCATTTGACTCTCAATATAAATAAATGCAATTCTATCTCGTTTTCGCGGAAAGCGAAGCCGATTGACCATCATTACCACCTAAATAACATAGTTCTTCAAAGAGTGACAGAGGTGAGAGATCTGGGAGTTCATTTAGATTCCAAATTGACATTTAAAACACACATAGACATCATGACTGCTAAGGCTTACCGAATGCTGGGATTCGTTTTAAGAACGGGAAGAGATTTTAAACTATGTTCTACAGTTTCATTACTTTACAACTCGTACGTAAGGTCCATTCTGGAGTATGCATCATCTGTCTGGAACCCACAATACAAAATATACATTGACTCAATAGAAAAAATTAACAAAAAGTTTGAAAAACACTTACGTTACAAAGCTGATAAGTTTGGCGGAACACTTCCTAATGTACCATCTCTTTTAGACCGTCGCATTGAGAAAGACCAAGTCTTTCTCTACAAAGTTTTAAATAACCATGTTGACTCCTCTTTTTTGTTAAGTAATATTAGTTTTAGGTGCCCTCGGACGAGTTCGCGTTCTACAAAACTTTTTTCTATTTCTCTCACTAGGACTAATTATGCTAGCAACAGTTTTGTACCTAGATCTTGTAAGGAATATAATAATAGGTTTAACACGATTGACATTTTTAATTCTTCCTTACCATCTTATAAAAAACAATTGAGAGAATGTTTGAATATATAACTTGCTTTTAATTTTGACCTACATAATTACTGTGTTTTTAATTTATATAATTTTATTAATATTTAACTTTTTGACATTTTATAATTTTTATTAAATTTAACTGTTTGACATTTTATAAAATTGACATTGTATTTATTTGACATTTAGAAATTAATGTATAATTTATTACTATTCAATTAATTTTTAGTCTGCAATCTGTATTAATTTTAACTGTGGAAACTTTGCTGATTTCTGTCCTATTTTTTGTGTGATTATTTGTCTGTATATGAAAATTGTTTGTTTCCCTAATATAAATAAATAAAAAAAATAAAGTAACAACTTTAACGATGAATCGATACCACCTATCCTCTTATCGGAAACAGAAAAAGCAATTCTAACCCAAAAAGATGGAAAATCTCCTGGACCTGATAATATCACAAACGAGATTCTGAAAGCTACTATCACCGAAACAGCTCCAGTCCTGACAAAGTTATTTAATGAAATAATAGTTAGCGAGACCATACCTACAAACTGGACAAAGTCAACGATTATACTTCTATATAAAAAAGGGAATAGGGGGGATGTAGGGAATTATAGACCCATAAGCTTAATGTCCAATATATACAAAGTGTTCAGTCCTTGTAAAAATATTGGCGGGTATTCTCACATTTGCTTCGCCAACTTTATTTTCCTACCATCGTCCAATGGTCGGAGCAAGCCCCACTTGCCCGGCGACGCTCATCGCGCACACCCGTGTGTCGCGCACGCTTAGCGAGTCTACGAGTGACGTTCACTCCCTGAAAAGACCGTGTCTTTTGCNCCTTTCTGACTTCACCATACCATTTATATGCATATAGGTACCCATTTACCTAACACCCTGTAGGTACATACACGCGCATGAGACGTATTAGACGCGTTTCAGTAAGCAAAGTTAAAAGATCATTACTTTTGATTTTGATTAAATGAATTAATAGGTAGGTAGTTAGGTACTAATTACTAAGCATATTTTTGAAGTCTTGTTTAGGATTTGATCAGGAGAACGTAGAGGCATGGCCTGGGGGCGGGCCGCCCCTCTGTTAGTCCGCCACTCAGATCATTCTATGATCTGAGGTCCGCCACACTGTGCAAATGCATTAAAATGTTACATGGATTAAAGTAAGTATTCGGTCCCTTTGTAACAGTACTAACAGTATGAAGACGTCACGTTCACTAAAGAGTTACAGGGTCTGGAGTTGTTTTTTTGTACAAAGTTACTTCGCTCGCGTGGAGCGATTCGTCGCCTGTCCAGAGGCGGCGTAAGGCGTAGGCGACGTGGGCCACCGCCTACGGCCGGGCGGCCTCGCGGTACAAGGGGCCTCGCGCATCAAAAATTTTGAAAAAATGTATACAAGGTGGAGATGACAATATCACAATACGAACATTGACTATTAAATATAAATTCTTGATAGCTAAACAATGTAGTTAAAAATAAAAATATATTTTTTTCCAAACAAATTCAGCCATAATCAGACACAAAATTAAGCAACAACACGGTTTTAAGTGACGAACATTATTCTTTGGCGCAATATTCCTTTAAAAATAATCACTGAATCAAGAAATCAGAAACTGTCAATGTAGACCTTTGACCCTTTTTTTTATTATTTCATAAAATCCGTCTTCAGGTCGCCACAGAACAAGGCCTCGCGAAATCTGTCTTGCCCACATCAAATTTAGGTCTTGCCCCGCCTCTGCGCCTGTCTATGGGCGATGAACCACAGGATAAAGGACGAAGCACACTTATTAACACGGAAACGAATCACCGTATCAGGCGGTCAGTACTTATACTTTTTATGAAGGCAGTTTCCTCGTGGTCATACCTATAAGGCTGGTTTAGTGTCACGCGGACTGTCAGTGCGGATCGCTACGCACAGCCGATTTGTATGAACTGCTAGGGAGCGAGCGGTTCCTCCGGACCGCATTACTCTAAAACGCTCCCTAGAAGTTCATACAGATTGGCCGTGCGGAGCGGGTCCGCACCGGACGATCCGCGTGACACTAAAACCAGCCTAACATATCAATTTCCATTGATAATGTACCTACAATACGAAATGCGCATAGGTAAGCCCCTGTGGATGGTGGATGGGAATAAAGGCATGCAACGCACTCGAACTATCCGCAACGTAACGTACTACCCGTTCGCGCTGTTTGCCGGTCCGTGGAATGCGCGTCCCCTCCTCAACTGCGATATGTCTTATTTTAGGCAAAAACACAATTTTTATCAATAATTTATTAATAAAAAATAATTTAAAAACCTAGTTTGATAAAGTTATAGACGCGTAGACGCTTCCCTTCGACGTCATATCGCCAGCGCAAACAACCATAGCACAACAATCAACCTACTCACTTGCTTTCTAATGCTCAAAATATTATATTACTTTTGTTTGTGTACCTCGGTGTACCTACAAATTTCATACTTAATTTTTATTGATTTTTTTTGAGCACAAGATTCATGTTACACAAATAGGAAGAAAAATGAAATGAAATAAAAATATGTAAATATTTTATTTTATTAGGTAATAAAATTGCTTCTTACAATAATCATACAATAGATACAGACTTATTTATAATTTTTAAAGACTGAAAATAGTTTTAATTTTTCAGAAGTTTACACTTGCTCAAAGTTTAAAATGATACTGCCATAATTCAGATTTGAAATGTACAAATTCATTATCAACAAAGCTAAAATTTGAATATTTGGTACATAATAATTAATGCATTCATTTTATGTGCCACTACTTGATGAAGTTTGCCCCAGACCCATTTGTATTCTATGCATATGAATTTCAATATTATTTTGGAATACTTTTTGATGGTGTGGTTTTAATTTGAGTTTAATTTGATCCATTGTTCCTTGAAGTACGCTCAATTCGTAGGCATTTTGATCAGAATCAGATAAACTTTTAACTTGTAACATCAATGCTGTCAAATCAGTAATAATGTCTATTAAATTTTCATCCTTGACTGATCCATTATTATTTTTCTCAACTAAGTAAGATGCCTCTTCGCGACATTTTTCTCTTAAATGTGATGGTGCTAGCATTGCTGCCAAGCTAGGCCCTGGAGCAATCTGCTGACAGTAAATTTGTATTTCATTAATATACTCCTGTAAGTCCATGTTCATTCTTTCTAAGTCAATAACTATGGCAGCATATTTTCTTTCAAAATCTTCAGGCATTTTTTGTCCAAAACATTTACGTTTTTCAGCTTCACTGTTATATTCTTTTAGTCTGTTTATTTTATTTCTTTTTGCATGGAGGATTTTTGTAAGTTTCACTATTAACTCCATAAAAGCCAAAGGATAGCTGGTGATTGTAGGCTCAACAGTTTTCTTTAAGTCCGAGCAGCCAATTAAAGGATCTCCTTGTGTGTTGTTATTATTGGGTGTAGTGGGCTGATGTAAATTATAAATTCCTTGCATGACGTACCGAGGTCTGAACTTTTGGGTGATACTAGAAAGACATATTGTATCAGGTGGATCGTTCGACAACACCTCAAAATCTGGCACTGAGTGTGTACCTAATTTTGGCCTTTCAAATGATATTCTGTATGTATTGTTGGATGTATCAACAGCATCTATACAACCAGTGAATAAACCATCCTGTGGCTTACGAAGTCTGGCTGTCACTTTTGTGCCCACTACTAACTGCATCGGTATCTCATTCGGCAGATCTTTGATACATAAATCTGCATTTTTTCTTTGTTGAATAAATCTAATCAACTTTCTCTTCCTTTCCAATTCCTTCCTTTCTTCAGCAAAAAATGCTTGAGAACATCTTCGGGGCTTACCCATCATTCTTCTAATCTTGGCCCATTGTACTTGAGTTAACTTACGATTCGCTAGTTGTGGAAATGACTCTTTGAGGCATATCATAAAATCATTCTCTCCATCAAACAGTGCCTTGTCAATATTACTGTAGAAATATTCAAAACATACCCACTTGTGTGCTTTAGGTAATTTGAGCAAATTTCTTAGTCTCATACCAATTCGTTGACCAGACTTGCGATCAGGTGACTGAGTAGCTATACTTTCAGCTTTATCATGGTTTCTCTGTACTTTACTTGGAGACTTCTGTTTCTTAGCACTAGAAGTTTTACTTGGAGTTTTTGATAGAATTTTTGGTGTTCTTTTGGGAGACTGTCTTGGAGGAGAAGTATTCACAAAATCATCAACAAATATGAATTTGTTCTTTTTCCTGATTCTAGCAGGCATACCTCTTGCATTTAACTTTTGTACAGGCTCACTTGGAGCTGGTTTTGGGGGTAATTTCGTACCCACTCTATGAAGGCCGAGCGCAGCTGGGCCAAAGGCTGGTGGTTCTTCAGCTTCTTCAGGCAATTCGAAGTCCATTGGTTCATCTTTAACCCTGACACTGGATCGCACCGAATTATTTTCCCCATCTTGGTCTCCTAAAAAGAAACAAAGTTGTGGTTAACAGAAATGCACTGCGAAAACGATCTCTCACTTTGTAAATGTCTCAAGTCCCAAATCAGTATTTATTTAGGGACCCGAAGGCTGAAAACTAAGTGGTTAACTTGGGCAATCAAAACTATGTTGGAGTAAAATCAGTCCGGATAATTTTTAAATTTCGATAAAATACATTGACAATTCGCAATGAAATTTGAATTTTTTCAAATTTTGAATCCAGCGTTCAACATAGCATTCGAAACTAAGCGACGGGGGATAGCTTCATCAAATAATTAACGGCTATGAAGATAAATTGATAGAAAATTTAAATTGGTAAGTTATTAAGCTAAAATTAATTCTTATGGTTTAAAATGTACAAAACAAACTTACTTTCCGATTTATCCGCCATGTTGATGTGGTAAATTTGATTTTATTTGAAGATGATAGCGCCAAGAAGAGCAAACTGACATTTCGTTATTTTACCGATCGGAGATAAATGGCACAAAGTTTTTTTTCTTCTGGAAGAGGAATCTGAAAAAACCGTAAAAAAACAANCCCCCAGATAATTTTAATGTAATGGTTATTTTCAATCCCATGTTATGGTTTATCATTTTATTTTTTACGCTACATGATGGTGCATTTGATTCATTAATAACATCGAATAACGGGGGGTAAACCTTTTTGTCAACTAATTAGTAGTTATTAGAAGTAGAGGTAGCTATTAGCTAAATAACAACAGCTAACGTTATTTATAGGACTAATGCAACTGTATTTTTTATCACAGACACAATAGTAATAATTTTATATCTGTAAGTTAACCCATTCAACTCCACCAACGCACATTGCGCGTTTTATGAAAAACCACTTGCTGACATTTTTTATTATTTTTTATAGAAATAATGATTCTATCAAAATAACTGAAGATTTTGAGCAAATGCACAAATTTGACTTAAGGATTGCTGAGAATGGGCACTGTACATTATCTTGTTCTGAAAGTCCATTTGGATGTAAAATAGATTGGTACAAAGATATGAAGTTATTGAACACATCATACCGGTATGTCATATTCGGAACTTCGCTGAATAACAAAGAATTCTACGTAATTCAACAAAATCTGACGATGGCTTAAACCGTCGTCTGACATTATTTATATTGTAATTCTGCTGCTTGAAGGCTCACAGAAAGTCCAACGCGCCAACAAGTTATACAATACAGATAAAATTTATAATATAAAAAAAAAGTAAAAAAAAAGTATTTATTACTAAAAGATGTCACATTGTACAAATTATTCTGGCGGTCTCTGCACTAAGCAGGAAAAATCCGTACCGCGCGGGAATAACTTGACATCTCGACCTGCACTTTTTTTTTTTATTAGCTTAAACGTTTCCTCTACCTTATACCCTTCTGGTATAAAAAACTCAACTCGAAATACCCAAAAATACTTGAAATACAGCTCTTGTTCATAAGTAAATATCTCTAATTTAGGCAATAAATATTTGACATAACGATATATCCAATTAATATTATTCGTACAAACATTTATATTTCGATTTATCAATGTATGTCAGAACATGTATTAGTTAATATCTCGACTTATACATTTATGGATTTTCGTTTTTAATTTGACAAAAACAGTTATCAAGTTATGATCCCCTCTGAGTACTAAACATATCCATGATATGTGCAGTTGTCTAGTTATGCACACTGTCAAGAGTTTGGATATTTGGAGTTATCCAGCTATTACATTCGTATAATCATATTTTTATATGTGTCATTAGCAGTTTTTAAAATATAACATTGTCAGGATTTCGAGTGTCTTTAAATATTTTTTACTTAGCAACCCCTGAAACGCGCACCTGCTCACGTGGGATTTATTTTTGGCAAAAACGGTAGCATGCTATAAGATTTTTTTAATGTGGGTTTACCTGTCATACATTCAGGGAATCATAGCAATAGCTTACGTTCTAGAGTGATCCATCATTTGGACGTGAACTGGACGGTGGACGCGAAAGGGCGTGTCGACCTTACGCAAAAATATATCCAGTTAATTTTAATTATTTTAAGCCTAATGGTAAGCCTAAAATAATTAAAATTAATTGTGCTTGTTATGAAGCATGGCTTTTGTTCTTTTATTTGTTCTTTTTTTTTAATTTTAAGTAAACGTACAATTATCTGATCAAAAGCGATCATAATCTGCGATTATATTTGATTTTTCTAATAAATTTGTTACTATTTCATTGCAAAAGTGATAAAAATATCTTCTATTTTTATGTTTTGTTTTTTTACTTAAACTTCATTCAAAATAATTAACTTAAATCCAATTTTTACACCTTAAATGTTTGTTTTTCTTTGGTGAATAACTTGACAAGTCGTCGGTACACAACTTGACAAGTCTTTTTTTTAATAGATTAAGAAGATAATTTAATCAAATTCTTACGCCAATCGAAAGATACGCATCAAATTAGCTTATTTCAATCATAAAAATATCAATTATCATTAATTCCGATTTACCAGAGAACTCTAAACTTTAAAATCGCTCCCCTGAAAAGTACGCAAAAATGACATGTCAAGTTATTCCCGCGCGGTACGGAAATAAGATTAAAATGAAATATATAAAAGTCCATAATAGAATGTCATACCGTATGACATTCTATTATGGACTTTTATGTATTATACGGTACGGACGTATGACTCATACGTCATACCTAGTCCTAGTTACCTACTATACTAATAAGAATAAGAGTTAAATACATTTATGTCCAGATTTCAACGTCACTAATTATTGCTTATTTACACAAAAGTCTTTGAATTTATTAATTCCATTGTTGTACCTGTACATGTAGGTAGGTCATTTATAAAGATTAAGAAAAGCATGTCTCCAAGAGTACTACCTGAGCCCCGATTACGGTAACTTTTAACGTCTACAATCCAGACGCGTTTCTGATTCTGCGATACGATTGGTCAAAACAGCTGACGTACGCTGTTGAACGACCAATCGTATCGCAGAATCGAGAAGCGTGTCTGGATTGTTGACGTTAAAAATTACCGTAATCGGGGCTCTTGACTGACACCTGATCTTGGGTAGTATTCGTCAGACTCAAATCCATTCACTCTTAAAATTGACTTCGATTTTCAAGATAATGTATCAAATGATTCTGTATTGCTCATTAGTTGCAGAAAAAATAAAACAACATTTTGTTACCACCATGTTTTCATTAAGTTCGTTTAAGTGGCAAATAAAATAATCATCAAATTATTGAAAATAATGATTTTATTGATACTATAAGTCATTATGCATACATTTAAGTAATTATTTAATTTATTATAAGCAAGTTTACTATTGTTAATATATTTTATTCCGTAGAAATAACATGGCTGATAAGAGAGAAGAACCTCATATCACTATTGATCTATTTGATACACTATACATTTTACATGCAACTAAAAACGAAGAAGGCAATTATACATGCACAATAGATAATGTCAAAGCTCGAGAATATTCCATTAAAGTGGTGTCAATGGCTAAAATGTTGAATCAAGGTAAGGTCTTCCAATCACATTATGAAAAAACTATTTCCCGTCCAAACGACGGATAACTCTATATTTTAATAACGATGTAATAAAATAATGTATAGTGGGTACATAGTACTGTCACTGTTTTTATAGATAGAGGAACCCGTCGCATTTTTCGGGAAAATGGTGGTGGACGCGAATAGGAATGCATAATATTATGTATTCTAGCTTGCTTAGCATTATCATAGGGTTTTAAAATTTTCAATAAGCTCGCTAAATAAAATTCGGCGTATTGGAGAATAAATGACGTGCGGGCCAGAAAGTGTCACTTTTAGATCGCTTGTAAATAATCCCTTTACGGTGCGTAATATAAATAAAATACAGGGTGGCCAAAACAGTGAGGTCTAAAAGAAAAATTTAGATTCCTTACCTCAAGGTGTACCTAAATCACCCCCATGTATATTATACGATTGTGCTTAGTTTAGGAGATAGAGTTAATTTTGTGATATTTTAAAATTTTATGACCTACCTAGTAGGCTTTAAACATTTTTATCTTTTTTTTGGGTTGACTTTTTTCAGATTTCTTTTTTTCGACAGATTTCTTATGAATTGCAGATGTTTGAAAAAAATAATCACCTTCCTATCTTTGATTCAAGATACAAAAGTTTTGCTAGAAACATTAAAATCACGCTTTTATCAGAACGCTATCAAATTTTCAACTTAAAAGTTTAAGTAAAAAAAAGTACTTCCATAGGTCCAAAACTATTTAAAAAACTGCGCCGTTTCCTGAAATTTCATAATAATACAAAAAAACATGTACTTAATAGGCCACTATTTCCTGTAATCGGTCCACTAAAGTGGTAAGTCGGAGATTTCGTTACATGTTTTTGACTTTCTTAGAGTGAACTAATATTGGGAATCCTCTAAGTTTACATTACGTAGAACAGATTTAAAGCAGTAATTGGACAGAACATGTTTTTATTCTCAACGAGGAAGCTCTTGCCCTTCATCACACCTGGTGGAAACTGATGATTAGGCTGAAGGTGGAAGGGAACTTCAACTACAGAGGAACTATGGCTTCCTACCTCCAAATGCCGGAATACAGTAATGCTTTTAACATTATTGTTATAGTGACAGACTTAGGAAAATAGAGTTGCTAGCCAGGCAGACTTAGATCAAACCCTACCACCAACCAAACCGAGCAGAAAATTTCACCTCCACTGGGAATCAAACCCGGGACCTCTGAAGCTTACCTCTTACCACTTGAAGACAGAGGCAGTTGTTACATTTTACTATTACCCTTGAAATACCTACTACAGTGAGAAGAAGAAGGAGGAATATTTGGTTTATGTTCATCAAAACATACTTAAAATAACAATGTGTTCCGGAATTTGGAGGTAGGAAGCCATAGTTCCTTTGTAGTTGAAGTTTCCTTCCACCTTCAGCATAATCATCACTTTCCACCAGGTGTGATGAAAGGCAAGAGCTTCCTCGTTTAGAATAAAATCATGTTCTGTCCAGTTACTGCTCTAAATCTGTTCTACGTAATGTAAACTGAGAGGATTCCCAATATTAATTCACTCTAAGAAAGTAAAAAACATGTAACGGAATCTCCGACTTACCACTTTAGTGGACCAATTACAGGAAATAGTGGCCTATTAAGTAGATCTTTTTTTGTATTATTATGAATGTTCAGGAAACGGCGCAGTTTTTAAAATGGTTTTGGACCTATGGAAGTTCTTTTTTTTACTTAAACTTTTAAGTTGAAAATTTGATAGTGTTCTGATAAAAGCATAATTTTAATGTTTCTAGCAAAACTTTTGTACCTTAAATCAAAGATAGAAAGGTGATTATTTTTTTCAAACATCTGCAATTCATAAGAAATCTGTCGAAAAAAAGAAATCTGAAAAAAGTCAACCCAAAAAAAAGATAAAAATGTTTAAAGCCTACTAGGTAGGTCATAAAATTTTAAAATATCACAAAATTAACTCTATCTCCTAAACTAAGCACAATCGTATAATATACATGGGGGTGATTTAGGTACACCTTGAGGTAAGGAATCTAAATTTTTCTTTTAGACCTCACTGTTTTGGCCACCCTGTATAAATAACTCCAGTGAATAAGGTCTTTTGAAACAAAAACTCGCCTTATGCCACTTGTCTAGGGGGGCTGATGTGATGATGATGATGATGATGACCATGAATGAGTAATTTACATTTGAAGTATTGGACGGCGTAATTTATTAATGTTCATCCAGAACCATTATCAATATAGACATTCTGGAGTCAGAGAGTCATCATAACAGTGTTTTTATGGTTATAAGGATGATTATATGATGAGAATGCAGTTGCTTTTATTTAATAATCTTTTTCCAATTGCAGATTTTATTCGCTATTCTATCTATTTGGGATTTATACTATCATTAACGTTCACATGCTACTGCGCTGGTTTGTGTGTAGCTTGGCACCGAAGAACATCTTTTGCAGATCCGATGAATCTCAACTATGGAAAAAAGTTTCATAATGGTGGTAATTGTGAACGTGAAACACTTTTAAACAAAGATTATTATTAATAAATAATAAAGGACGTGATAGTTTTTTTATATTTGTATCACACATTATATCATTTAAAGTGTTTAATAACGATAGAAAATATTATGACGTAAATTTTCAACCAGTCTGTCGAATACTTTCAAAATTAGTTAGTACAAAAAGAACAGTTAACAGCCCTACTGACTATATTTTAAAGACTCTTTGGAAGGATGAAATTTGACTTCTTGGCGGTAAATGTGAAACGGAGCGACAATGTTAGCAGTTTTGTTTTAATTTCTAATGGACAACATCCACGTTTCATATACAGGGTGTTTGGCGCATCGTGTGCCAAAATGATTTGGCGGATAGAATGGGTCATTTCCTATATTTTCAGCCCCCATAACACGTTCCATACCAGGCGGCTACTTTTATATTAATTTTTTTAGTAATTTCACCAAAATACCCAAATCGCATCATTTAATTTCGATTTAAAAAAAAACTACTAGGCGTAGCCTCAAAGTAAATATTTTGTTTTGACGTGCATTGATGTAGGGTTGCATCAAATCTAAATTTACTGGCAAATATCATCTAGTTTTTTTTTAATTCAGCTTTGTAGTTTTCCGAAAAGTTAAAAATGGACTGAACATTTAAGTTTACATGGCTATAAAAAAATTAATAAAAGAGATAGCGATCTTCGGATTTTATCAAAACTTCTCTAGTCTATCCCCATTTAAACGGTATACTAATCTTGTTTAAATAAAACAATAACTTCACAAATTCCTTAAATTAGTGCATTGACTCTACTCGGACTGATTTGCGAAATTTGTGTTTATAGCCCCTTTTGTGTGAATAGCACGTTATTAAACACCTAACAGGTAAAAAATATTTATCTTATGCAATGTAAAAACCTTTTCCCTTTCGTTTTTCAATGTGGATTTCTTGAAATTAAAGACGAAAATTGTTGTTATTTAAACAAGATTAGTGTACCGTTTAAATGGGGATAGACTAGAGAAGTTTTGATAAAATCCGAAGATCGCTATCTCTTTTATTTATTTTTTTATAGCCATGTAAACTTAAATGTTCAGTCCATTTTTAACTTTTCGGAAAACTACAAAGCTGAATTAAAAAAAAACTAGATGATATTTGCCAGTAAATTTAGATTTGATGCAACCCTACATCAATGCACGTCAAAACAAAATATTTACTTTGAGGCTACGCCTAGTAGTTTTTTTTTAAATCGAAATTAAATGATGCGATTTGGGTATTTTGGTGGAATTACTAAAAAAATTAATATAAAAGTAGCCGCCTGGCATAGAACGTGTTATGGGGGCTGAAAATATTATAGGAAATGACCCATTCTATCCACCAAATCATTTTGGCACACGATGCGCCAAACACCCTGTATTTTTGGTCCAAAATCAAAAGTGCCGGCCAACAAAAAGAAGTGCTGTATTCTGACAGAATACGTCTGCCTTAGCATTTGTTACTATGGCACCAAAGCCATAGCTCCACTGTGCGTCGAGTATTTGAGATCTAAAAGTCATCGACTATTCATACATTTTTTGTTCAAAATCAAAAATGTCGGCCAATAAAAAAAAAAGTGCTGTATTCTGACAGAATACGTCCGCCTTAGCATTTGTTACTATGACACCAAAGCTGTAGCATCACTGTGCATCGTAGTATTTGAGTTCTAAAAATATATGAAACGACTGACTTTTATCTTTGGTGCCATAGTAATAAATGCTAAAGCGGACGTATTCTATCAGAATACAGCACTTTTATTTTTTGGCCGGCACTTTTGATTTTGGACCAAAATGGATGATGTCCTTTGAGTATACAGGGTGCTAGGTAAAATGGGTTTGTAAGCCGATTAATGGCGTAATAATGGCGGATTGTTAACCATTAAGTGTTCGTGAATTAGCATGAGCGTGGGCAAATGAAACAAAACAATGCAGCGGATTCTTCAGATTCGCTCAAGTAGTCCTTAAGAAGTCTCAGTAAAGCATCCTTCATTTTAACATTTCTAAGTCCCATCTCACTTGGTCCCATTTTGTAACTCTTCCCACTTGAAACTTGAAAATGGCACAAATCAAGTTGGCCTTGACGTGTATTGCCAACATCAAAAAAGATGAACAATATAAGATATTTTAGACAAAAACCGGTTTTTGATACATCATTGTCGTAGGAAATGTCGTCATAGCTGTCATTTTTGCTGTCAAAAGACTTGGTGAAAGTATTTGTATGTGTGTGTAGCAATTTTGTTTGTGGTGGTGAGAAAGATAACTTTATCTACAGAAAATGAAAACTTTTAAAAGTTAATTACCAAAAGAAATCTTTGTCATTTTGTAGTTGTTGATGCCAAAATGAACTACAGTGCTGTGACTTTGTTGCTCCTTGGGATATTTGTGTTGAGAGAAGCAAATGGTAAGTTCCTGACTATAATGTAATGTAGTGACACGGATATAATTTCAAGGTAAAGTGAGAGTTATTTGATGAACAATAGTCTCACATTATATTCGGGTGTAAGATAGTTATGAACGTTAATTCATGCTTTTCATATACACAGATGCCTTCAGAATGTCCAGATTAACCAATGTACTTAGCATTAGAACTAAAAAACAGGTTATTTTGTAATACTTATTAATTATGATTTCATTAAATGATTTAATAGTTTACTAATTATCACTACCATATCATTACCATTAAATGTTCCTTGAACATTTATATTAAACCTTCATTGTAACTGGCCACTTTATTTTCCAGGTTTGCAAAAAAGATGTCTTAGGTGCAGGTCTCGAGGTGAACTGGGATCATGTGGAGATCCATTCCCATTCAATGTCACAGAACCAGAAGCAGAAATGGGGATCCATGTAGTGGCTTGTCCTTCTGGCTGGTGCGGGAAGCTCATTGAAGGCACCACGGGAGCATTCCGAACAGATGGTAAATAGTTTTTTAATATTATATTTTAATAAGTACTCCCTTATTTAAAAATAACTTGAAAAAATTTAGCTGCTTGTGGTGGGAATCGAACCTACAATGGGTTCAACCAGTGTCTAAGTAGCTCAGATAGAATAGCAGTCACCTCTGCAAGCGGAAGGTTGTGGGTTCGATTCCTAATTTAGGCAGTTTGGTTTTTTCAAGTTATTTGTAATTAATTTGAGACGCAACTCTTAATGCCATAATTTTTAATAATTATGAACCTGTAATAACTTCTTAATACTTATAGGAATATTCTTTTCTGCATAGTATTTGGAAATAACATTCTTTTATTCTTGTGAACTGTAATGATTGAATTTGAATCAAAGCTTGTTTGATTTAAGTTTGAATCATTTAATTATTTATATTGAAGATATTTTGATTATTTAAGATTTAATTTTATTCACCTATTTGAAGTAAAAGTGATTGTGATGTATTACAGATTATGGTGCAGCTACACAAAGAATGTGCTTGCAGCGGCCACCAAACGACTATGAAGAGAGATGTGCCTACACTATGTGGAATCATAAAAAAGTCTACATGTGTTTTTGCAATGGAGACTTGTGCAATTCTGCTATTAAAATCACGGCATTTCCACTGTCGTTATTTATAGCTACATTAGTTACTATATTCAATTTATTATAGAAGAAAAAACAGTGTGTTATATCAAGAAGTATTTCATAAAGGTAGCTAGCAAACTATTTAATAGTGATCATCAACAACTTCTAATGATTTTGAGGAGACTGGATTTTTCTTATGGTAGCTAGTAATATTTTTTATTAGCTTATTATTGTCCTATATTTAATCTCAAGTAAAAAATATTTGCTAAGTACTCAGTTACAGTACTTAGCAAAAAAGATTAATACCTACTTAGAAACTATTTTTATATTGAAATATATTGTTACTTTATGTATATTTAGGTGACAATGAAATAGGTAATTTGAGTGCAGGTTTACTTTTCCATAAAAGAATGCGCTGGGAGAATGTAACTGTGATGATAATGTATCTGTAAATAATGTATATTTTGTATAAATATTTTTTACCATGAATTTATATCAATCAGTTTGCTTTTTCAGCAGCTCACATAACTTAAATTTTTAGACATTGTATATTTTTTTATATTCCAGGCTATGCATTATAGTCTTATAATACTCAAGATGTGAAATTTAATGTCTATTAGATAGAAGAATGTTACTCAAAAATATGTGGGGATAGAAATTTCATTTATTTTATTATGTACTTAATAGCTTTAGCACTGCCTTGTCTCAGCCCGTGGCTGTAACTGTCCAACTTAATAGTCTGACCCCAACATTTGGGGTAATTTAGGAATAAGATATTTTAATTTTAAGATACTTAATATTCTGTATCACTCTATACATTCCAATTTAAAGACATGTTTATTGAGGTATATTTTTATTTTCAAATGCAGCTAGTGTATATAATTATGACTTTATTATATCAATGAGTATTTTTTACAGTTTTTTAAATATAATACAGTTTACATGCATGGCAGTTGTTTTATTTGGGAGGCTATGGCCGATTGAACGGCCAGGTGTAGCGTATGCTGCCGAGTCGGTGTGGTTTGAGCTGATTGCTGATCCTCAACTCTTGGTTTTCTAGTAAAGACTGGATGTGTGGGATCTCGTGGAAGAAGAGGTTTCCATGGCGATTTGATCTCGTTACTGCTGCTATCGCTTCTGAACCTTCCAGGAGGTATGGGTCATGGGGTGCAGCTTCTGAAATTGAATTTTAATTCATTATTCTCTTATCGATTTACGAGTGTCTAACCTTGTGCCACCGAAGGCGATTCAGTAGGCAGTCACTCGAGATGATTTTATATCATTTTATCGAATCAGCTACCACTTCCGGGTCTTATCACTGTTCTTGTGATTGTTAATTACATTACCTGAATCCAGAAATTTTAGATAAGGAAACAATTATTAATGCCTTACTATCATAATTTTGAATCGTTATCTATCGATAATGGACAGCATCCAATCAGAATCCGAAGTAAGACGATAGCAGATGCTATCTCGAGACCGTTCAATTCAAATTCAAAAAATTTCGTTTACAGGGTGTCCATGATTTTAAGGTTATTGTGAAAATTTTGCTAACAAATGGAGTGTTATGTATTATTATGACTGCTATCAGTTGTAACTACACTATCATGGGCACTCCATATTTTTTTATATGATTGTCAGTGCTGTTTTGACAGTCTAGACTCTACGGATACCTACTGGGCTCATAGCTCTAGAGTCTAGAGCTATGAGCCCAGTAGGTACCCGCTGGTTGTTCAGTTTTAGAACATCCTGTTTTGTATGATGTTTAGTCGAACTTACCTGACGATGCATCTCTGCCGTCGGCTCGCGATATGGAGTGCCCGAATCTCGGAGGACCGACCGGAGGCAAGAAGAGGCCTTCGGGCCACAGAGACTCTGGGTCTGGCGAGTCCACTTTGTAAGGGGACGGAGGCAGCAGTGGGATGGACACGTCTGAAATGTAGAGAATAAACTTACGATTATGAGATAGGTAAGACGCAGATTTGCCCCTACTCGTTATGTCCAATCTAAGGCTCTGATTGCACACTGGTGCACACTCCACTTGACCCACTCTTTCTGTAGGCATACCTACTTTAATCATAATTTTATTTTTCGAAAGCACTGTTTTACTTTATGCATTTACTTAAGTACTACTTCCCTTCTATGATCTGAGGTAGGTACCCATGTACCTACCCACACACAAAATTGGAGAATTTCCGTTTCCCGATATCATTGATGGCAGACTGGAAGGACTAGATAATCCAGTCAATGGGTATGAGCACTTTGAAGTGCTTCATATTTTTTATTTAAATTTATTACAAAACAACATTATAATTGAGCAAAAATTAAGTATAACTGTAAAGGAATATTATTGGATAGAGTTAAAGGGAATAATAGTAATTGTAAGGGAGACGAACCACACCACAACATGAAACATACCCATAAAGTTGTTATGTTGCCACAAGGGGTATTTCAGCGCGTTCCCGCGCCTCGTATCTTCGTCGTTGAATGGTATCGTGGGCCGCACTCGAGGGTAGCCGCCTTCGTGCGCCTGGGATGGCTGCGGTCCTGTGGATAAGACGGCTAGTAATTTGCGATAGAAGAAATGGTTGAAAGAGAAACGTGGAGGATGTATATCTTGCAAGTAAGGATTGCAATAATATCTCAGGAGAGCTCGCTACAAGCTTGGCAAGTAGCGTCTCCGCAGACTAGCTTTTTGTCGGTCTATAGTTTTTTGTTGGGCTAAGTATTCCGGCTGCAACAGGTGCATTACAAATACCTACTTATTTGGTTTCGGCCGATTTCACATAAAAATTAGAAGCCGACCTAAAATTTGCCGATAAAAATCCTGTAGTCTACAGTCTTACAGTTGATTTGGGTACTTAGGCTTACCTAAGTACCTACCTAAATCAATAGGTACTTACTTATAACTACTATATTAATTTGGCAAATTAATTCATTGCATTTTATGATTATGCTGTTTGTTTCCTGTATTTTTGCAATATTAATTTTGAATACAATGAACAATGTTACTGATCAAATAACAGATTGGTGTTAATTAGTCTGACTTTCAAATGACCAGTTATAATGATGTTTTTCATCTGAAATAATAATTAATTAATAACAATGTTAACCTAAAACATTTTCACACATCTTTACTTTGTTTGTTTTTATTTGTATAGAGAACAATAGTGTCTAGACAAACCTAAAGAGGATTGAGGACGCTATTTGGATCAAATATGTAATTGCTCAATAATGAATAATAAATAAATAAATAAATAATAATAACTTACCTATGCAGTAGGTACTTAGTAAGAATCAACATTTTACTAACTTTTCTGATTTCCCTATGGCCACGTGGTCCTACTGCCTTTGTCCTACCGATCGTAGTTAACATGTACCTACCTACTATAGGTATAAGTACATATTTGTAAACATAAATCTTCGTTAGGTATGATGGTATAGTACGCAGTAGTTGTAGAGTCAACGGAAGGTGATTTTAAATATCGGGGTTGTTTTATGAGGACTTTAGAGGGTCACTTTTATGACTAGGTATGCTTACTTCTCAAACTCCTGGAGACTGTCCTAACCGGGTGATAGGACCTCCGCGCAAGCGACGACACAGGGTCCCCTACTCCATGGCTGAAACTCCTCGCAGGAGTGTTGATGCTGACGTGTGACGCGAACTGTGTTCCAGCCAGCACTTGCGTTAACTGGACCAGGTATAGGCATAAACTGAAGGCGCTCTTGAATGATCGGCTCGTCGTTCTCTGTGGACAAAGCAGTTTAAAAACAAATAATTAATTCTTGTATTAAAAATATAGGTACTACTAACTTAGTTCACATGCTAACATTATTAATTTTAAGACTGGCTTAGTTGAGTAGTAGGTTAGGTACATGATTAATCGGGAAAATTAAATTAACCGGAACTGACAATAAGGTACTATTAATGGTCAATAATACGCATGACTGAAATAATGGGGAAACTTTTGTTTAGTCCGTTTCTCTAAAAGTATTTTCCAAAGTCATTAATAACTTCGTCGTCTGGATGACGAATGGGACGAATGAAAGGATATGAAAGTATGTATTGGGATCTACTTCTACGAACAAGATGTTCAAGATAGAATCAAATCACATATTTTACTAGCTAGTAATTTAGCAAGCCTTGTGTTTCTTTTATAGCAAACTAGCTCTCCGCCCGCGTGGAATTTTGTATGTCACAGAAAAAAAATAATTGCGCGCGTCCCTGTTTCAAAAATCGGGATAAAAACTATCCTATGTCCTTTCCTGGGACTTAAACTATCTCTATACCAAATTCAAAATCGGTTCAGTGGTTTAAGCGTGAAAGCGAGACAGACAGACAGACAGTTACTTTCGCATTTATAATATTAGTATAGATTAAATCTTTACAGAGAATATATAGAATTCTTGATCTAAGTAGTCTTACCCTACAATTTCCTATTGCTAAACTTATGGCATCCAAGAGAATGACGCCCAACAGTGTGGAAAAAAAACCTTTGTCATTTCATTGTTGTTATTTACATGTGACTTAAACCTACAGTTTCCTGTATTCCCAAGCTCTAACAAACGTATGGAACGACAGGTTTGGCAACCAGTATGCATTTGCTTTCTCAGGACCTACTTTTTCTTTGTAATAAATTATAAGCAGTTTACGTAGGTATGTGCATATGGAATAAAGTAGAGTCAACCCTTTATAAAATTTTCACTGACTTTTCCTTATAATCTGCGCCTAAACGTACGTAACGTACGTACGAACCTACGTACCTACATCATATTAATTTTGTAGCAACATAGCACCATAGATAGCACTTACTACAATGTACAAAATGCTAGAACTGTGAAACTTGATATCAGTACCTCACTCTCACTACGCGGAATAGTCATGTTTTTGAAATATTGTATATATTTTTGTTAGATGTTTCATAATTTAATTGAAGCTGTTATGTATCGTTATTTTATATCGGTATTTAATTTGTTATTATAAGCGCGTATCCAAACGTAGCTAGTTTAAAAGCATTATTCAGGATGTGTATCCGAGATTCTTTCTTCTTGATACGCCAGACAAAATGGCGATAGGCAATCTTGTAAGCTCTGTGTTTAATCGAAAATAAAAGACAGTATCTTCAAATAGAAACAACTTTTATTTACGTCTCCAAGGCGGAGACATCACAAATATGGCGACGAGCAAAACATTTATCGGCGGCCAAGGCGGCATAGGCCACAACTTGAAACCCTACGAGGAGGGTGAGGACATAGCATGTTTCTTGGAACGCATGGAGCAATATTTCGAAGCAAATGCTATCCCTGAAGAAAGAAAAGTGGCATCTTTACTTGTAAGTTTGCATGAAGAAGTCTACAAAACATTGAAGAACGTTCTGCACCCAGATTTACCATCTACCAAAACCTACAAGCAAATCGAAGATGCACTCAAACTTCGCTTTAAACCTCGCATCTCTCACTACAGAAAGGTGATTGAGTTCGATAGGCTTCGACAAGATGACGGCGAGAGTGTGGCGAAATTCTATTCTCGAATTCGTGAGGCATCGACAGATTGCAATTTTCCAGCCAGCAGCATGGAAGCCATTGTCAAATATAAACTGGTGACAGGTCTGAGGCCAGGGCCTGTGCAGGATAGACTTTGTGAGGAGGATTCACAAAAGTCCCTGAAGGAGTTACTCGAAGTGGCGCTAAACAAGGAGTCAGCAATCGCGAGCAACCACAGAGCAGTCAACAAGGTATACAAGAACATAAGCGGCAAGGAGACCCAAGAGCTAGACTGACCCGACACTATACCGAAGATATCCCGGACGTCAGTCTGTACGAGATTAGAATGGCTCTCTAACAGCTGAAGAACAACAAGGCACCGGGTGATGATGGAATCACGGCTGAGCTTTTGAAGGCAGGCGGAACGCCGGTACTAAGGGCTCTTCAGAAGCTGTTCAAGTCCGTCATCCTCGAAGGAAAAACGCCTACGACATGGCACAGAAGTGTGATGGTACTCTTCTTCAAAAAAGGTGACAAAACCTTGTTGAAGAATTATAGACCCATCTCACTTCTGAGCCATGTCTACAAGCTGTTTTCAAGACTTCCAGCCTCCCGAACAAGCCGGTTTCCGGAAAGGGTTTAGTACCATAGACCACATACATACGCTAAGGCAGATTATACAGAAGACCGAGGAGTATAATCAACCACTTTGCCTGGCGTTTGTGGATTATGAGAAAGCCTTCGATTCGGTCGAGACCTGGGCAGTGCTACAGTCTCTCCAAAGGTGCCAAATTGACTATCGATATATCGAAGTGTTGAGGGGTTTGTACAAAAACGCCACAATGTCGGTCCGCCTCAGCGTTGCCAGACGTCCCGATTTTGGCGGGACGTCCCGATTTTTAAGTCAAATTTAAATGTCCCGCGCGGGACAGGCTCTGTCCCGCTTTTCGGAGAGAGACACTCACTTCACCAGACTATTGTTTGAAACGCCATATTATTCTAAAGAATAATTTTTTTATTTCGATTTTTGTTTTTTTTTTCTTTCTTTATTCTAAACACGAATTTAACGATAGAGTAAATCTGATTTAAAATATTATTTTTTTGTTAAAATACATTTTCTATGGCTAGTTTTGCTATCCATTGTCACGTAAACGTAATTTTAAGTCAAATAAAAAGATAAATATTTGAAAAACCTTTGATTACATACGTTTTTTTACTATGTCCCGCTTCTGACGGAAGAATCCCGCTATTTTCACTCAAAAAGTACTAAAGTCCCGACTTGGCGAAAAAAAAAACTGGCAACGCTGGTCCGCCTCCAGGATCGGGACTCGAAACCTATCCAGTTGCAGCGAGGGGTAAGACAGGGAGACGTCATATCTCCAAAACTGTTTACCACCGCCCTGGAA